GCCACCCAGCATCTACATCACCACCCAGCATCTACATCACCACCCCCAGCATCTACATCACCACCCAGCATCTACATCACCACCCCCAGCATCTACATCACCACCCAGCATCTACATCACCACCCCCAGCATCTACATCACCACCCAGCATCTACATCACCACCCCCAGCATCTACATCACCACCCAGCATCTACATCACCACCCCCAGCATCTACATCACCACCCAGCATCTACATCACCACCCCCAGCATCTACATCACCACCCAGAGCATCTACATCCCCACCACCCAGCAAGGATCAGGTGCAGAACGACTATAAGAACCAGAGGACAGGGATGACTGGAACGGAACAGTGTCTTCTGGACATGACACTGCACTCATGAGCTGTGGTTGCCAGCACAAGACCTGCCCAAGACCAAGCCAGTCAACATTCTAGTATGGAGGTGGAAAGGTTTTTAATCCCCTCCCCCTAACTGAGCAACTATGGCTAGTGGATGACTTCTGAGAGAGAAGTCATCTCTGAGGGTCAGTTTTCTTTAAAAGTGTGGCCCTAATAGGTCTGCCAAGCTCCAGTGTATGTTTCTCCCAGGAGTATGTGGACAGCACAAATGGGACTTGATGGGTAATAAAAAACAAAACAAAAGGAATGTAGTTGAGGGTGCAAAGGGAGGCGAGAGTTGATCTGGGAGGCACTGGGGGAAGAGAGGAGAATGAATAGGACCAAAATACACTGTACGGAATTCTCAATGAATTAATAAAATACTCGTTTGAAAGCAATGAAGGCTGGGTGGTGGTGGCGCATGCCTTTAATCCCAGCACTTGAGAGGCAGAGGCAGAGGCAGGCGGATCTCTGAGTTCGAGGCCAGCCTGGTCTACAGAGCTAGTTCCTGAGTTCGGAGGTGAGAATCCATGAAAAACTGTGCCTGGTGGTACAGACTTACGCAGGCCTGTTACCCCAGTGCTAAGAGGTGGAAACTTGGGGGATCCCCAGAACTGACTGGACAGTTAGTTTAGCCCAAATGGTGGACTTGGAGTGAGACCTCCATCTCTAAAAATATGGTGCAAAGCAATAGAAGGAGACTTCTGGTTCACACACACACACACACACACACACACACACACACACACACAGAAAGCAAAGAGTTGGGGGTATAACTCTGTTATAAAGTGGTTGCCTAGTATGCACAGAGCCATAGGCTTGACTGCCAGCCCCACAAAGAAAGAAAAGGTGTACAGACTGTAGTATTGAAATCAGATATGCAGACTCAAGCAGGTGCTTCCTTGGCTCAGATTTACCTCAGCTCTAGGCACCTCCAGGGAGATCTGGATCACACACTTAGAGGAAGAACACATTACCTGAGGTCACATTTGTCTGTGTCTGGGCTCCTCTTTTTG